ACAGTGTCACTTATCATTATAAGGATAAGTTCATTAAGCCCTTATTGCCGTTATAACACAGAGTAACTGTTCTAAGTAAGTAAGTTCTTAAGCCAAGTATTTAGTATATTTAACATTTGCACTTGATAGACAAAAGGTCTTGTCAATAATCGTTCTAACAATCAGTTATTATCGTTGCGTTAGTAAATGCTTTTCGTTATACCTTCTGTTTTCGTTAACCGATATTTTTGTTGTCAATTTTAGCAACTACTACAACTATATTATATTCGCAAAGAATATGTAACCATTTGCAAATAAAATACGTTTTATTTTTTTTGAAATTCTCATTGTCATATTTGCAGTCAAACATCTCTAACGGCAGCACTCACTTCTCAATGAGAACTCCTAGTAATAATATTAGTCTGCTATTATAAATCAAAGTTATAAGCATTTTGTTCACCCACTAAGATGAAAAATAAACAATCTTGTGTTCAATTACAACAATAATTTGAAACTGTGACTGAAAGAAATTAATTTCAACACCTGTTATAATAGAAGTTTCCCAAGTAAATATTACAAAATTCAATTGACTCTAGTCAAATTATGAATAAGGTTGCCATGGTTGTTCTGCTCTGTAATTTAAAGAGCACATTGATATGGTGAACCTCCACTGATTAAATTCATCATTTGTTCATACATCAAATTGGAAATTTGCATTTTCACCAGAATTTTTTGTTTGGGGGCAACTGTTTTAGCCCGGATGTGATTAAATTACCAAATGTTTCATCTTCATCCTTTTCCTTTTCCTGACTTCTGCAGTCCTTGACAATACTTGCTCCAAGTGACTGAATTAATGCCATTTCTGGTTCTTCTGCAACATTTTGTGTTTTCTTTGACTCAGTGCTGGATTGTTTGTGGAACCTCCAGGAAGGCCTCTTGGCTTTAGTCACTTTGGTTGGTGTGGGTTTCACTGGTGGCTGAAAGGTGTTACTCACAGTCTCAATATCTGGGTTTATACTTCTGGCTGTGTCACTGCCTTCATCATTTGAATCAGAAATATCAATGCTCTCAGTTTCAAAACTTGATTTTGTTCTTTGTTCAGTAATAAATGGCTCCAGCCATTGTAAGTAAGGATATACCATATTTTTTCAGTTATAAGGCGCAGCATTTTTTCAAAGAAATTTTACCTTACCACCTTTGAATTGTCTCAGATTCGGGGCGCGTCTTATACCCAAGTATGTTCATGCAACGAAATTCAAGAATGTCCTATTTTCTATCCTTAACCTGGTATAAAACAAGATAAATAGAAAGAAGGCTGGAAATATTGGTTATTGACTTCACTCGACTTGGTGGTTCTGGAAAGAACCGTTCTATTAATACTGCTGCAGGTACGTTTTATTCTCCTTCCTCGCCTTCACTGTCAGTCTGGAATTCATTGTCAATAATCTCCTCTGCATCTTCCGTCTCTTCATTCTCTTCCTTCCAAACTGCATCGTCTTCTGAGCCATCTAGTGCATTTGCAATTCCACAGGATTTGAAAGACTTCTCAATTAAATCTTGAGGAATTCTGTTCCAGGCGCATGTTTAAGATGTGGCTTAACTGGTAGTCATGACGTCTCTGGGCCCTTAACACAAACTGATGACATTTGATGATCTTCTCCTCCATGACTGCTGGTAGACGCTGTGCCAAGTTGTTTTCACTCTCATAGATACAGCGTGGCGACATTTCCAGTTGTTGTACCACCCTATAGATGCTTTGAACTCTGGATTGGAGCTCAGTTCCTTCACCTCTAACCAAACATTACGCTATTAACTGAGAGACTTGCTAAAAATAGAACAGTACAGTGTTAAAGGACAAGGTATTTTACGTGCACGTGTTGTATGTTAACATTGATCTTCTGAACTGTTGATCAATTAGTGCAAATTGAAGACAAAACAATTCTTTATCGTACCTTGACTTCTTTGATCACTAAACCAGTCTGCTAAGCGTTGATCCAGTTCTGGGTATTTTGGTTTGTACCAACCCATGGATGCATGTTTGGCAGTCATCTTTAACTTGCCATTAAACAGCATATGCTGTTGGTTTTCCCATTTGTGAACCATTGACTTGAATATTCCGTACTCGCGTGCAATTTCCCGATTGTTTTTCACTGCCTCTGCTTCCGCTACTATTTTCAACTTAAAGTTCAGATCGTTTTGCCTTTTGTTAAAAAAAGGTGTCATGACTGTAATTAGGAACTTTGAAAACGCTATTGTTTTGAAAGTGAAGATAGTGAAAAAGCGCAAAGTTGAGATTGCGTCTTATAACTGGGTATTTAGGCGAAATTTTTGGTTTAACAACTTGAAAGAAACGAGTTAAAAAATTCAGGGTGCGTCTTATAACCGAGTGTGCCTTACAACCGCGAAAATACGGTATTTCTGATAAATTTGATTTCACCTCTAGAACATTATCACCACCTGTCCCAGAAACCTTGACTTTCTTGATTTTTTCTTCTCTCTACTGTACCTGTTATGCAAGTTT